GTATTACAGACGCCACCCACACCGCAGATCTTCGAACGTAACTTTAAAAGTCCCTGGAATTATATATTTAAAAATTAACGGTTCCGTCACGTGGCCCCCATCGGCAAAAGCGCGCTAAAAACATCGACGTTTGAAAATGTATTGCTACTCGAGTTTCCCCCACGTTGCAATTTAGAGAATATTTACGAGCCAACAAAGAGGATTTCCGTGGAACTATTTTTGTAACAATCTCGATTCCTCCAAAATCAAGCTTTCGTTGTCCCTTTGCATACCATTAATATCTTTGAAAATAACTATGTCTTCACTGTCACTCCCATTTCTTTCCGTCTAATTTAGTGCCTCAAAGAGTTTAGACGCTTTACTTTTACAATCTTTCGCCTATCCCTCTCGCTCCTTTTGGCTTGGACATTTTGATTCGACAGTTGCTTACAGAATGTCACCATTTTTGGCTGGATAATTTACCAAAACGCCTCAGATTTAACGGAGCTCAGTGGTATTTTGGGAAAGAACGATTTCCTCTTTCTTGGTCGCAAAATGGGTGCTTTTCGTTGTGATCTCGATTTAGAATTTTTTCAATCATATGACACGCAAGATGCCCCATCTGACTTGGCTGTTTTCAAAGTTATGCCCTTCCTGGCCATGGAAGAAGGTTCTATCAATGCAATCAAATTAATTACTCGAACAGCAAAGTCAGACACGGTGCATTTCCATAGAATATTCAGCCAAAAACTAGCGATTTCGCGTTACACAGGTGAAAACGAACAATTAAAGAACGCAGGCGATATATATGTACACATACACAACGAGAATTTAGATAGGAAACTTTGTACACTAATTCTTTTAAATTACACACCGCTGTGTACACTGGGCGGAGAGAGTGTCCTCTGACGAAAGTATTCTCCACATTTACATTCTCCTTAAAATCCCGAATCACCGGATTAAAAAATAGAAACGGAAACGAAACAAAAAAAAAAAAAAAAAAAAAAAAATGAAATTTAAGCTAGAACGCACAATAAATACTTATAATATTTCGGAACGACACCTTCGGGGGGAGGCGGAAAAAAATACAAAGAAACAAGAAATGAAAAAAAAAAAGTATGAAAAGTGTCCTATTCTCGTACCGTACCAAATAGTTATTGCAGTTGAATACGATCCTCTTTTTTTTCTACGTAAATTTCCTCTTACAACGGTTTTGTACTTGTGAATGAATGTTCAGTTTCAAGATCGCGCGGTTCGTCGGATTAAAAAAAAAAACAAAATTATCTTCTCGGCGAAGCAAGGTAAACGAGAACGAAGCTGGGGGGAAAACAGAGTAAAAAAAAGAATCTAAACGAGCCTTCGAATATTTCTCAAGGACACACACGTATCGAACCGCGAGAACTTTCAGTCTAGGGCCTCAACAGATAAGAGAGAGAGAGAGAGAGAGAGAGAGAGAGAGAGAGAGAGAGAGAGAGAAAGAGAAGAAACAAAAATTACGCTCTGTACAATTGTTTACCCTAAACAGGTCTGTGCTTCTTTCACAGAATCGATCACACCACGATGGAATCGATAAAGCTGATTTTTTCGTCATCGAGAAACTCAACCATTGTGCTTCAGATTCGAACAATTTCGTCAATGATAATTCTCTTGCTTTTCGTGCCACTTTCATACTTTTGCTCGTATAAACGCATAGTGGTCGAGTTCTTCGATTTGCCGCGGATTATTAACTAAGATTAAATACAATAGCTTCATATCGTTTACATTATGCATAAGATATTTACAAGAAAAATCGAACAGTGCTCTGGTGTGTGTGTATGTCTTTCTGTGTGTGTGTATGTGTATACTCCAGTGTATGTATATATTTATATATGTGTGTATATATATATATTTATATATATATATATATATATAACGATCAGTATCCAAGTCGATAAGATTACGGATTATCGGCTTCGATGATGATTCCAACTGTATGTTATAGTTCCATAAAAAAATTGAACTAAAGCTATGTATAAACACGTTTCCATTAGGGCACCGTTCTCGCCGATTATAAAAAGTGCCACAACACACTTTCCGGGGCCGTTTAGATGCCAGACGGACAGAGTGTCCTCTCTCTTTAAAACACACACACAAAATTGTCGTTACCCTAAAATGCACAACCTAGTCCTCGGTTCCGTTTCAGATAGCGGGAATACTTAACTATCACTGTTTAGGCCACGAGAATTCCAAATTTCAGAAGAAACCCTCTTGTCGTCTGTTCTCCATTCAACTGACATGAACAGCTAATTAGCACCTTGTGGATTAATCATCGTCGGGGGATTCTCTTGTCTCGTTCACGCGGTCGGCCGCAAGAGATCGTGAATTCATTTCGTTGTCCCGTCCCTGTATACATCTCTGATGGTCCAAGAGGGTGCCTCCAGACGGTGCCGGGTGAAGGGACAACGTTAACAGAAAATTGTCATCTAATTTGAATTAAACGCGACGAGTCCAACGACGCTCGCTCTACCTAGAGAACCTTTGATACACCGCTATATATTTATGCGGGTTAAGACCTAGGCGCTGGATGATTGTAAAATGGCTTCTGAGACTGGCCGGAAGTGGGGTACACTTGGCTACCAGGTGGCGGTGGGGTTGCTGAGGCGAACTTTGCGATTGACACCGCGGCTGTCGATGGCGGTATGAACTGCGGTGGGTATGGATTCGATCCTGGAGGTGCTTGGGACGCCTGTGGCACCAGGAACTGCTGTGGTTGCGGCTGTGGCTGCGACTGCGGCGACGGCTTCGCGCTGGACGCTTGTGCATTCGCGTATACCGGCGGCGGGGTGGTCTGCGGAACCGTGAAACCGGGGTACGGAACGGGAGAAGGCTTCGTTTGGAACTGGGGATAATGGATAGACGCGGATCCTGGCGGAGGAATGTAGGGCTGAGGTGGTAACTGAGGCAGAGGATAGCCTGGCGGAGTGCTCGAGACGGATGGATGCGGGGGTGATGATTTCCGTGCTTTCAGTATCGCCTCCGCTGTTAGACCTGCAAGTAGCTCGACTAAGAGAACTGTCACGGAGTAAAAGGATAAATACGTCAAGCATAATTTCGATTTTTTAAGGTACAATCACGGACAAGATATAAGAATAGACTTAACATGTTATGGGACTTGGTATTCCACGAAAATCTGGTTCGAGCGCAGTCCAGATAAAAGTTTTCGATTTCAGAAACTACGTTCGACACCGTGATAACGCACAGCGTTACTTTCTATTCTTATATCTCGTCTGTGGTAGAACAATAAAATTTGTTAAGTCTTTCCTCACGGATGATTAATCTTACCATGTTTACGGGCTCTTTCCTCCTCGTCGTCACTCAGAAACAATCCAAATTCTCGTTTCAGTCTCTCCGTCAGGTTCTCCCGTTGACGTTCCACTAGAGTCGGAGCTGCAGACCAGCCGATGGTACCTTCCTCGCCAGCTAAATAGGGAGAAAATAATAAGAATCTATATATACTTTATGAACTACTGCATCCTAACCTAACTTTTCTTTTTTTCTGGTACCGACCGTTACCTTTCTTCTCCTCGGCCTCTGCGTTATTGAAGATAGGTAAGGTAGTGAGCCCGGGTAGATCGAGGGAGAGGGAAGGTATTTTCGATGCTTCCTCGTCGGAACTGAGGGACGAGGTGCCACTGCTTGCGCTGTCTGATCTGCCTCTTGCGGTTCCTTTATCCGTTGCTGGAGTATCGTTCGATGGTTCAGGATCTGGTGGTGTGCCGGACGACTGCTGTTTTCGTTTCCGGTATTCCGATATGGACAACTGAAATCGTGTTAACGTTATTAATAGTAATTGACGAATTAATTATTTAATATTTTCCTAAATTATGTTATGTATGTAATCCTAACCTTATGAGTGAATTTGTGAAAATAAGTTGAAAATTAAAGAAAAGGCGAGAACTATGAATAAATAAATATATGACCCTAACCTTTCGTTTGACTGGTGGATTCGCGTCTGGTTTAAATGCAGGTGCGGGCATGCTGTTTGGGACAACTGTTCTGGGGTCCTTCAGTCGTTTGATTTCTTTCGGTGTAGCTGTTTCTTCTTCTTTCATTTGCGTCTCTTCGGTGGGAAGCTCCTGAGGCGTACCTGTCCTCAATGTAGCATCGGACGCGTCGACACTGTGCTCCGACGTCTCTGATTTTGGTTCCGTGAAGGTGGTACTGTTCTCATCGACCGTCTCCTCTTTTGTTTCTTCGGGCGTCAGATCATCCAGCTTGGCCTCCAGTAATTCTCTCAACGCTGTGGATAGCATCGACTTTTGTTCACCGTTTCTCGATCCGTCCGACGTTTCTATATCGATGGTGGACTCGATAATTGCTGCCTCGAAGTTCAGCTGGCTCTTCGAGGCGCTCGCCTCTGTCTTCTTACGTATACGCTCGCTCAACGGTGGAATGGAATGAAATATCTTTGGCGGTTCCACGATGGACTCTGTGTCCATATTGGAGGACGTGGACTCGAATATGGAGTCCTCCGAGGAAGCAACGAAAACAGACGGCTGTTCTAACTTCTGACTATCCTCAGTCTGCTCGATGAGCTCCTTTACGTCATGCCCGATAACTTCCTCCCGTTCCGGTTTGCTCTCGAACGCCTTGAACAACCTTTCCTCTTCGTGGTCTGTACGAAAAGACTTGAACGACGTTTCATACTTCAAGTCATCCATTTCTTTATCGTCCGACTCGGAATCCTCTTTAGAACTCTCCATCAAGCCCTCTATACCGTCCATGCTCTTATCCTTTTCCGAGCTAGTATCGATTTTTTCTTTGTAATCGTTCCCATCGTCACCGGTGATTTTCTTCATCTGAGCTTCAACGTCGAACTCGTCGATGGACATGTTATCGTCCGATTTTACATCGGACTTCACGCTATCGGGTTTCCTGTCGTCGTCACACCTGTCGTGCTCCATCTCGGTCATACTGCCACCGAATTCGAGTCTCATCTCAGCCACACGTTGTTTCAAAATGGCGTCGGATTCCATGGTGTCGATAGGTGAACTCATATCTTCCATTTCCGTGTCCCGTTCATCGTGCTGATCAACTATTTCAACGGTCCCTTTCTCGGCGTCCGACGTCTCCTCCTTTATACAATGCTCGTTCTTGATCCTTTCCCTCTGACAATCCATTTCCTCGCTCTTAACAAGCCGTGACTCACTCTTGATCAACTTCGAGTCCAAACGCGCTGATGAATCGCAATTCATTTCTTCCTTTGGCTCCTCCTTCGGCACGATGTTCTCCTCCTTCACCAACGCGTCCACCTGCGCGACGATCTCCATGGCCTCTTCCTTCTTTATGATTTCCGCGTGGAAACCTGGTATCTCCATGCAAAATTTCTGCCGTAGATTCACTTCGGTGTCCTCATGTTTCATGGACTCTATAGGCTCTAAATGTCTCTCATCGTTTTGCTCCATCAAAGGCGACTGAGCGTGTTCGATGTAATCATCCTGGAAAAAAGAAGACAGAATTAGACGACCGATCTCTAGATTTTACAGAGCCTACGAATGACCCCTACAAAATACAAAAAATTATACACACCTCAGTTGGACATAGGGATCTAGTATTCGGAGCAGATTCCGGATGCAGCATAGTCGGCGTGGTAGGCGGCGTGTAATTGTCCGACGACAAGCTTTCCCTGGCTATTCTCCTCTTCTTCGGTGGCGCCACCATCTCGCTGGGCGGTGGACTCTCAGGCCGGCTGTTCGGCGAGTCGCATTCCTCAGAGATCGCCTGTCGTAGCCACCTCTTCTTAGCGGACCCCGTGGAAACGGGGCCCGTTGGGTTCCCAGCCGTCGTTTGCTTGCGTTGGGGCGGTGAATCGCATATGCCAGAAACAGAATTCGCAGCCTGGACTAAGGTAGCCAGACTCTTGGCCGCGTAGCTCTGCGACAAGAACTCTGCGGATGAATCAGCAGGCAGGGAGAAGTCTGATGTCCTGCAAAGTGGGTTCATGGAATTGGGGAGAGGCGCTGGTGGCAAGGCTGGCAACGGAGACACCTGAGGCACGTTGGCCTGAGGAGGATCCGGCGATTCCTTCAGCCACTCGTTCATCAGGACCTTCTTGGTCTTCGGGAACTTGAAGCCAGGAGCCAGCGGACCGACCGCTGCCGCGACCAACAGACACGCTGAGGACAGAGGAGTAGACGGAGTCGAGCTCTGGGAGCTACTGCTCGCTCCGCTGTCGCAGGTCGGACTTTTCACTGGTGTGGGCTGTTGCAAGGGTGGTGAGCTAGGTCCAGGCGCGCTCGAGTTCGCCAGAGCCAACAACAGGCCAGCAGCTGTTGGTATCCCCTGATGAGCGGACCCTGTGCTCACAGGCTCGCTTGTGCTCTTCGCTGGGGTGTGCAAATGAGAGGAGTAAGGTGCGTCGCGGCTGTGGGAGTGATTGTGACTCGACAACGGCGGGGATTGCATGGAAGTGCTCTCTTCTCCAGATGAAACATCCGAGTCCGCGGAGTTTAACCTTGTTCTTCGACTACTGCTCTGGGATTGTGACGAGGTCCTGGTCCTACCTTTCCTTCGTTTCCGTCTCAACGGTCTCTCAGAGGAGGTCTGTTGCTTCTGTTTCGATTGTGGTATCGTAGGGGTCGGAGTGTCCTCGTTGTCGCTGTGCGTGCTACCTACAGACTCCTTCCTCTGCGCATTCCTCGCCTGGACCTCCTGCTTCCTCTGCTCCGCCTTCTCCAGCCTCTCGAACGCTTTCATGATCGCCTCCATTTTTCTCTCTTCTCTGGTCATTTTCTTCTTGTCCTTCCTCGACTCTGGCGCCGTGACCGGCGTCAGACTCGGTGATATTTGTGGTTGTTGCACGGTGGTCGTAGGCGGCTCCTCCTTGACCATCTGTCGTGTTGTACTGGCCACAGTAGGTGTGATTGTTCTTCTAGCTGGCGCTGGCGACACCGAGGGCGCTGGTGTTACCGGAGGTGGCGTTGGTTGGGCGACACTGGTGCTTGGAACCACGGTCGAGGAATCGCTGTCCTCGCACACGGTATTCCGTCTGCCCCTCCGTCTTCTTTCACGACCACTGGAACGAGTATGAACGTTTAGCGCAAGACTGGAAAACCTAATCTCTTATAGCTGCTTCAAAGATATAGCGTTAGCCATAAACGAGGCCGACATTTAAACCATTAGATCATCAGGGGCTCATTGTGTCCCACCGCAGTCAAGGTCGTACGCCAATTTCAGCTATGGGGTTCCAAGAAATAAAACAAAAAATACTGGAACATTTGAAAGAAATTTACGTTTTTGTAAGCTTCCGTCAAGAATAATACGGCCAGAAGTATTTAAAATCTGAAATTAGTACGCTATAAGAACTTGTTTAATTATATTGAATATTATTTTCAATTTAAGGGTGTCGAATGACAGGATTAGGCTACCGAAACAGATAAACTTTAGGGTCAGTCAGGTTTATGGATAATGCTACATCTTTGAAGCAGCTATACGATTAATCTTTTTACTTAACCCTTGTGTAGGCAACCAAACTATTTACGGTCATTGAGCAATCCTAATACCCCTATTCTGACAGATTAGATAAACACAGATAATTTTCCAAAACTCTTATTCTTCCCTTCCCATAATACACCAAGTTCTGTTTCAGACAAGACTACAAAAAATTGTTAGAAGAAATTTAGAAATGGGTACCCGGTTGCCTACGCAAGGGTTAAATCTTAACATCAAATCTACCACAATCAGTCAAATTACTATCTCTCTGAAGGGTTCGGTAGGTTGAGTGCTAAGCAACCGTTTAATAGAAACTTACTCAGCATTCTCAGCTAACGCCCCGTTGCTTCCACGTCTGTTCAACTGATTCACTGAGGCTATCTGACATTCCTTCGGGTTGTTACACGCGCAAATGATCGGCATCATCGGCCCGTTCGGATTCGGGGACAGCAACAGGTCGTGTTGCTCGTGTCTGATTGTGATCTCGGCGTTTTTCTCGATTGTGGTGGTGGTCACGATGTACAAATGCAACGTTCCTTTCTCTATACAGTGCTTCACCTCTGCGTTCGGCTTGCAACTACGCCGTACGAAACGGGCGTCGTTGCCGTACGTTCGCGTGTCCACGCACACCTCGGTTCCGTCCCGTGGCAACCGATAAAAGAAGACGAACGGGCCTGGCCTCTGTGTATGCTGTCTACCTTGCGGATGAGACGGTCGGTGTTGTGTGCTCAGCATGTACTTCCCCCTAAGCTCGACGACCGGCGTGTTCGGTGGCAGGTACATCGTCGCCACTAGAAACTATGATGAACAAGAACAAGATAAAATTAATTAAAAGAATCTCGTTTGACGATAAACTCCGGAACTTTTCACGAGGGGAAGGCACGGTTGTGGAATTCGTTTTTGTAACGGCACTATCTGGAAGTTATAGTATAAAACCGTTGTGCCATTCCAAAAGCGATTTCCTCATACTTCCCCGTGTCAGCCCGAATAGAAAATATTTTCTACTCACCCTAACGTTATTACTGTGCACGTTCAGCCTGCATTTTCCCGTGGCGATGACGTTCATATTACTCTGTCTAAGGTCGCTGTGCGTGCCGTTCACTTTGATGGAGGATATCCTAGCCCTTAGCTCCGGGCTGTAATGATTCGTCACGGCTTCCTCGTACCGTTCGATCCACTGTCGTAGCGGCGCGACATTCGACGTCCAGGAGTCTTGTGTCTCCTCCTCCTTGTCCTCCAGGCTCATCCGTCGTTTCGCTTTACGTTTACCCGGGCCACGTTTCGTCGCCTCTTTCTTCCTCACCGCGCTCGACTGTCTCGGATGCGAATCTCTTCTCTGCCGTTTCGCCACGTTGTTGTTATTGTTGTTGTTGTTGTTCAGACGTCTGACCTGCGGCGGTGGGTCGGATTTCCGACGCGGAACTTGCTGGGATTGTTGTTGCTGGGGCAACGAACGTTTTTTCGGGACTGCGTTCACGCCAACGTCGGTGTCCGCCGAGCTGGTGGACGAAGTATCGGATGATGTGTCGGAATTCAACAGTTCCTCGCGTTTACGCATCTGTAGGGCCCGTGCCCTTTGCCTGTCCACGCGTCGTGGCCGACAGATCTCGCAGAGGTACTCGTCGGGAATGTTCGAACGGTCTATGCCCATGCAATCCACGTGTTGCCATACCCTGGAACCGAATATGTAACGATAACGTATACGGAAAACATTAAAATGGACGAATCCCATAATCCTAGTGGATACTCACAGGCAACGGTCGCAACAGATCATGTAGCCATCGTCGTGCTCGAAATCACTGGAAATTTATATTTTTTAAATGTCTATTTTAATACAGGTCAGAAAGATTGATGAGGACCGTTGGAAATACTTACCATATACATCTAGTAACACTGTCTTCGTCGTCTCCCTCTCCCTCAGGAGCGGTTTCAGTTTCTTCCCCTTCCGGTTCTGCCTCTCTACCGGTTTCGCTGCTAATTGCACTGGCTGCGTCATCCTCTACGTTGGTACCGGTCACAACTGTGCAACAAATATTAAATTATATGGATATACTGTTTCCTTTCTGTGCAATTTCTGACTGGTAAGAATTTTTTACGCACCCTGTCCGTACATGTAAGGGTGCTGGGAAGTCGCTGCAGAACTTCCAGCACCGTTAATCGCCTGTTGCTTCGGATGGGGCGGTGGAGATGGAGGCGGAGGCGTTCGTGGCGGTGGCGCCCCGTAATTATGATCTTGCAGGACAAACTGGAGACACTGGAAAGGAATTAATTGCTCATATAAAAATAAACCAGTTTCGAGTTTCATTGATATATCAATTGTTTCTAGTAATTTCCGTTACCTCGTACGGAAGGGGCATTCTTCGAACTGGAGATTGAGGTGCTGCTTGTGCGGGTTCATCTTCTTTCAGTACACGCAGCTCAGGTTCGATTCTAATAATACAAGTTACTCGGTTATTAGACGAATTTATCGGATTATTTAACTAACCAACTGGTTGAATTGGTAAAGAAATCTACCACGACGCGAATGGTGACGGTAGTGTTGGGTAACAAATATGGACGACGCGGGTGTACATTTTACTATACGTTTATATAGGAACTAGTAACATAAAAGTTTATTTGAAAATTATTTCTTGGAGTAAAAATGTTTACAGTACTGTTTGCATACAATTTGTGGATACGTAGAAGCAAGTTTTTACACATTTACGTTATTTCTCGGACAGTTGGCGAATCCCATTTCAAAACAATGATGACTGTTTTGAGTCAATAATTTGTGGGGGTCACGAATTAATTAAATACTTTTTGAATGATTAAAGATATGCCACTTTGGGCTCCCTATTAAATTGTATACCTGCATCGTCCATTAATATTAATTCGTATACCGACCCATAGGGTCGCAACCAATTTTAACCTCCCAAATACTAACTTCTTCTCGATTTCCCTGCGAGGCTCGGCGCTGGTCACCGGCAGCAACGTTTTTATCTGACCAGTCTGTTGTCTGACCTGCTGCGGGAACTGGGGCGTCATGACGAGCTGTTGTTTTTGCTGTTGTACGGTCTGTTGTTGTATCTTGATCGGCTGATTCTTGTGCATCAGCATGTTCGACGGGACAGTTTGCTGGGGTAACAATGTTTTGATGCTTTGCTTCTGAGGGACACCGGTGCTGGGCCCTTGGCCCTTTGCCGCGGTCACATTAGTATTCAAAGAGGTTTTGATGCCGGTTACTTTCTGCTGATGATTCCTCTGGGTAGATTTTTGTGGGGGTATCGTTTTGATGCATCCAGGCTGCTTCTGTGTGTTCTGCGGTCCGATCACGTTCTGTTGCTGGATGATCTTCACCGGCTGGGAATTGGCGGTCCTCTGTAGAGGCTGCTGAACAGCGTTCTGAGAGGGATTCGGTGTCTTCGCGGTGTTCGTCACCTTCTGGGGCACGCTCTTCATGGCTCCTTGCTGCAAACCCTGCGTCTGAGCTTTTGGTACGCCTACTCTCATCACCATCTGTTGCTGTTGCTGCTGGACCTTCGAGTTCACCACCTGGGTGCGTTGATTATTTGGCATCGTGGCTATGGCTGCGACCTTCTGGTGCACATTCGTAATACTGTGACTCCTCTGTACCGGTTGCTGACCGACGTTCGACTGCTGTTGCTTGTTACCACCGACGTGCGGCTGCTGGATGCTCGGTTGCTGCAACAACTGTTGCTGGGGCGAATTCTGCACCTGGAACTGCGACACCGTCTGCTGTTGTTGCTTGCCGACGGACAGTAGATTGGTCTGCTGCTGCATCTTGGCGATATTCGGGACGCTGTTGCTTTTACTAACGTTGGTCAGCGATTGTACTCTAGTGGAATTTACGGCTGCTACTGTTTGGGACTTCTGCAAGCCAACGGACTGCGAGGTCCTTTGACCGGATTGGACTTGCTGGACATGCTTCTGAACCTGGACCGGCTGCTGTAGTTGACTCTGCACCTGTCCTAGCGCTTGAGGCTTCTGTATACCAGCTACAGAATTGCTAGGCTTCTGTACATTGTTCATAGTGCTCGTCGACTGCTGCCTGGAGGCTACGGACGGGTTCTTCTGCGGCTGACCCGGCAACTTCTGCAATCCCGATTGCTGTTGATTACCACTGATTTGTTGATGATGCGCCTTATGATTTGGGTGACTGGCCAGAATCTGTGCGGATACCTTTTGACAGTTGTAAACTTGTTGGGCCATTTTCTGCCCGGCATTCACCTGTGCTTTCTGAAGACTCGGATTGCCAGCCGGCTGCTGGACGGTTCTCTGTACAACACCGGCGTTGCTCGCCGCCTGGTTCACCGTGAACTGATTCGTCGTGGTCGTTGTCGGTGGCGTCGACGCCGTCTGACCTTTCTGTACCGTTTGTATCCTCGGCAGGGAATTCCTCTGCACAGCAACACCGGCCTGGCCAGCATTCATTGTTTTCACCTTCTGTAAATTAACGGTCTGTGACTGGCCGCCAACGAGATTCTGGGCTTTCACGTGTATCCTCTGGATATTTGGCATCGCGGTGGCGGTACCCTTCACCGCGTTACCGGTCACCAGTTGCTGCGAGGCGATCGGTTGCTGGACCTTCTGATGAACGTTGCTCTGCTGGATGCCGGACGACACCGTGGTCGCCTGTTTGCCCTCGACCACCTGATTCCTACCGTGTTGCTGTTGCTGTTTAGCGGTCTGGACCGATGTCGCGTACTGCAAAGGATATACATGGGCCACTCCGTTCCCCGGCGACGACAGGGACTGCGAGTTTACCGGTAGATGAGCAACGTGAGAGGATACGTTCAACGTCTGATGGCTGGTCGACGGTAACTTCTGAGAGATCACACGTGTGGTCAGTACCTGGGTGGTGTTCGTTTGCGAGCCGGCGATCCTCTGTACCTCCCTGGCGGCTTTTGCTATCGGATACGTGACGTTCACCGATTTCACAGTGGAGAACGATATCACGTGGCCGGTCGGTATCTCCGATGTGGCCTCCAGACACTGAAGAATCTGTGATTTTCCGGTGTCGTCGGTACCAACGACAACCTGGCTGGATGGTTCCTGGTTTAATAGGCTCGAGGACGGCTGGACGACGTTCTTCTTATCCACAGACGCCTCCACGGTGCCCAGCTGCAACACGAAGCTCATGGTGGTCGTCTCGGCTGCCTGCGGATAGCTCTCGACAACAATCCGTTTCGCGGCGACCGCATCGTTGGTCTCGTTGACATCGAGAACACGCTCGGCTGGGGACACCGGGGGAGGTGGGCCAGGCCCTGGGGACAATTGCTCCCCACCCCCACCTGTTCCACCCCCCGATAACTTGATCACCGACGGGGTCGACGTTTTGGAGGCCTTTCGATCCCACGGCAACTGGGGAAACACGAACGGAGTATAGGATCCTGAATGGCTGGTCCTCGACCGACGGCTTCACGGTGTGCCCGCGATCTTCGATTCCGCTATTTGAGGATCCTGAACCATAGGCTGCAACAGGACAAACGAAACGTGGATTGTTAGTTGATTTTTTATTAGTTAGAATAATTGTCCGTTTGTACCCTCGCGAGCAAACTCGGATTTTGCTAGGGGAAAGGTGATTTAGGGGAAGGGTATACCACTTGATAGATTTATTTCAAGCACTGAAATAAATGTTAAATCGAACAGTAATTTGACATACATTTCAATAGTTTCTGAAAGCAAATGGAAGGAGACTCTTCCCCTACGTCATTTTTTCCCCTAGTGGAATCCGAGTTCACCGACCAGTTTGAACGTATAAAATGTAAATTTTCAATTTTTTCTTTCAAAATAATTGCTCGTCATGGGCACCATATTGTAACCTCCAAGTTACATTCCGTCAATTGTAGACAAAAATATAGTGGTGGAATTGGTATGTGAGGTTAAATGTACATTAAACAGTAGATTATAGTTTAGGTACCACAGGGTGGTCTAGAAATGATAATTTAGGGATAAATTACAAAAAGTTTGAATACCGTGTTCGACACGATTTTGCTACCCCTAGTGGAGCCACATATGGGCCCGTTTAAATTTTTACCCAAGCGAATCCGTACTACTTACGTCGCCCAACCTGCCACGAGCATTGAATATTCAATGTTGGCGGTGTAATATTCACCGATATTGATCCAGAAGAACATTTCTTCCCGCTACCACAAAAGAACAAACGATCATCCAATAGCGATCGCCATACCCGTTCGACGTTATTTGTCAAATTGGTTTGCGATTCGCTGATAAAAGCGAAAATTACCGGGTATCGATAAAGGAGAGATCGAGACGATAATTCGAAGTAGTTCGGTAACATCAATTTCGATCTCGTGAAAATTAAGCCGCGTACTCATGTGCCTAGTTACGTAATAAGGCGAATTGTTTATTGACTAAAAAGGCAAATTTATTTATCTATTTATTTACACTGGCAGAGAATAACCTTTGCTTTACATATAAGATTACAAAAAAAAAAAAGTAATTTTAGTATACAGAAAGAATGGACCTTATTAGTTTAGTATTTGAATAAGAGATTAAATTCACAAGGTGTGTTTCCAAAAAAATCAAGAGATTGATTACAATTAATACTACTATACTACAAATTGTTTCTTAACCGACAAGAACAAATTTTTATTAATCAATAAGAAAAATTGTTTGTTTCACCTATCCAATATTCTGGTAAAAAATTTTTTTTTTCATTTTCAAGGCGAATTCCTATGAGAAACGTCATCGTGTAACGTAAAGTCCGCACGTGCGACTGGACACGCGCCAACTGTGTCCACGAGCGAATTGCCACATATGTATCTCTGTGTGTGTCGTACACTGCTAATAAATTGGTATTATCAATTTCCTCGAGCAACTCCGAACCGCGTCGGTGTAAACATCCCCGGCCGGATATAGAAGCACGCAAGTAGTGGTGGTCAGTGACGGTGTGGCCGGAAGTCGCGCGTTGAGCCTAAATTACACCGTTTAACAGATCTCTTATTCAAATGAAATATTTATCGTTAAAACCCCTGTATCTATGATTTTCTTGCAGGCAATATTATTTTCGACTTGCGCAGTACTTTAGCGACTAGGAAGAGGTTAGGGTGAAAAGGCGGGAATTCGTCTCAACCTTCGAATATCTATAGTTTAGTAATATTCTTTCTGGATCGAGAAATAAATTTCGAAAGTATATTTGCCGGTAGTTAGTTCGGGAAGATAATAGTGTAATACGATTTAGATACTGCGTAGTAAGTGGTAAAAGCGAAAGTAGTGCGTTCGTTACGTGCACGCGCGTATGTAAGTAGACCGGAAAATTTATTGTATTTATTTACGCGTTCTTGTATGTCAATGTCGAAGCGAGCGATCATCCACCGTTGACAAGACTCTCTGCACCGTACAGACGAGGCGTCATTTCCACAACAACGTCTCATGAATTATTTAGCGAATGCAATAAAAGACGTGAAAGATCAACTAACTTTTTTTTTTATCCTGCATCGCAAATGATTGGCCCTCCTTATACGGAGCTATAGTCAAGTAGCGCCACACATGTTCACTGACGTGAACTTGCTGCAATGGTAACTGCAGTTTTACGAGAACACCGCCGGGACGGTAAAACAGATTCCGTCTCGTCGTCTGCGATGAATATCGACATACACGCGTTTAATGAATTCTTTTCAATTCACACAGATCATAGTTGTTCGAATTTTCATTGTAATACGTTATTTTATTGAACAAATTAAATTTTAATAATTTCAGTTAATTTCGATGACAGCAGCGCGTTCTTCCGTCAGATACGGGAATTAACATCGGTCTGAACGTAGTTTGCATTCAAAAAAATAATATTTACGCCGTTACACGCTAGGGGAGGGGGGACAACAGCCTAGTGTTGATGTTTAGAACCGTACATGAGTATTGCAAATGCAACCGTGGATGCAAATGAGCTGAAAGTATGACGATAAGCCACGAGCCAAGGCTGTGTTCCGTATAATGATTTTATTGTCTTGCCGAGTGTGTCTCTTGCTCCCGTGCGATAACACAAAGCACGGTCCCATCGCGTCTTGTTTCGCAACCTCGACTGTGTGGCATCTTTTCTCTTTTTTTTCTTGTATGAACCAGATCTACTATATTGCAAACATCCCATTCTGAGAAGCACAAATTTTCCATGTTCTTTTTTCTGCCGTGAAAACCACGAACGTCATCGGGATCACGTGACGAATGCATGAATAGGAAGCGCGTCTGGATGCGCGCGCAGCTTTTTCAGCAGCGGTTGTCAGTGTGGCACGCGACTACTGGGAACTGTCACGGAGTTGTAATTGGAACATTTTTATTTGAATGAAACTTTAAAAATCGATTTAAGCTGATGGTCTAAATATGATTGTTTTCGATTCAGATCAAGGTAAAGAGGAATACATAACATACTATCTTACATCATATCTCGGAAAGAATAATGCATCGATGCGTAAGGAAACATGACAGGATTATGGAAAAGATAAAAATGAATTACTCGACTGGATTACATAGTCGAGTATTAACGATATGGGAAAAGCTATTATCGTGGCATACGATTCGTAATCAACGGCCTCTAAATCCCGATAATTTCTTAACTCTTTCACAACATCTTCCACTGAACAAATGGCTATCCGTTCGCTGTTACGTGATAAATGGAAATGAGGGTAATTTAAAATGATCCGTTGTGCAACGGTGAACGGTTAACCATAGTTTCTATAATTGCTACAATCTTCCTCTAATTTCCAATAATGACTGTCCACTTATATACTTCTTTCACTATCTCCCTTGTCACTTTAAATACAACTAACTTGTTTCTTAAAAAAAAAAAAAATTAAACATGAGCAATGTCTGTGGAACAATAACGGCGAATTTCCATCGGGAAAAATTGTGTCAGTACAATGATAAGGTTCTTATCTAGGTATCGATATCTCATCGGTTGGTCAGTTATCGACTAGTTCCACACGCGCGTCGATAATCACCGGACACACGCAATATGTATGCCAGATTGAATTCCAGCCTATCGTAATTTTAATCGTCGATTTGCCATACGATCCGAAATGTTGTCGTACGTTGCAAAGTTGCAACGTGGTCACGTGGCCACGCTGTGTTGCATCCGTGACGACGTTATCGGCATCGAGTCTCGAGAAACACCGCCAATGGGCACAAAGAGAGAGAAAGAGATTCCACTTTCGTCGCGCCGTACGACGAAATGCCACACGCAGGCGTCCGTTAACCGAGGTTATGCACTCTCTCGGCCGTTCCGCTGCTGCGTCGGTATAGTTCTTATTCGAGTGGAACTCGCGAAAATGGGGAATTGGTATTTCATCGAAATATGCCAAAATGAAAAATGGGGAATTGCTATTCCATCGAAATATGCCAACGTACAAAATGGGAAATTGGTGTTCCATCGAAATATGCCAAAGTGAGAAATGGGGAATTGGTATTCCATCGAAATATGCCAAAATGAAAAATGGGGATAACGTGATGAACGATATATAGTAATTTTTTTTAAAGATTGAAGAATAATAGGTTGAGAACCACTGCACGAGTTGCTATTATTTCAGATGGCGAGAAATCAGGAAAACTGCCAAAGCAAAGCTGTGTGTACACATAACAGAAACGAAACTATAACCACCCCGGGCTAAATATAACAGGCATCGTTGCAACGGTTACGTGTTGTGTGTGCGTCCATGGTTAACCGGCCGATAAATTCACCAGGATACCAATTATGTTTCGTGGAAACGCGTGAATCTCGTTGGACCGCGAACCACGGCTAGACAGTCTCCATGGCAGAATATCGAATCGATCTTAAAACTGTAGGGAACAGTTCCTCGATACAACAGGTTTGTGACGAACGTGTCCGTACAGTAGAAACAGTACAAGCGGGAAAAAATCGTGACATGGACCACCTCTGTTTTGCAAGAATAGGCCTACTTTCCTTTAGATATACATATATCGGTAATAATTTTCAAGGTAAAATAAGATGTTTAATAGTAATTGGGGCTCCAGTTCCTAAAAGGTCCACCCTTTTTACATACAGTTCATCTGGGACGATTTGTGATATATAGTGTGATACAAAAAAAAAAAAAGGATTTATAACTTCTGGAGTAGATAATACTTGGCCGATGAAAAAAAGTTGTAATAAACATACATAGAAAAATTAA